CTATAGTATATAGTTAATTAGGTATTTTTATGCCGTAAAGTTTTCCCTTGACTAACTAAAAAATATTTGACTTAACCATACCTTTTACTTTTGTTTAACTTAACACTACTTTTCCTTAATCCAATTTATTTGAAATTACGAGAGGAATCCATGTTAGAGAAATCTCCGTACAAACAACCTGTAGTTGGTTTTTGTATCTTTTCATTTTTAATTAATAAATAGTTTTGTTTATTCTGACAAACAGTCTATTCAATTAGACCAGTGAAACATAAAACATATATTTTACTTTTAGTGATTATGTCATCGAAATTATTTGTCATTTTTAGTTCAACTTTTTATTAAAAAAAAAAAAAGAATATCAAATTAATAATCAAATATCCTAAAAACCTTTAAATACTTATTTTCATAATAATTAATTTAATTTTTAATAAAAATGTCTATCATTTTATTTTCTAAAAATTTAATTTAAGATTCATAATTAGCGATTTTAAAAACTCTTAAATACTAATTTAAAAAAAAAGGTTAACAACATCTTCATATTCTTTACAGTTTTTCGAGATTTGGGACCAGTGTGCGCCGCGTCTCGTTATCCTCGTGATTTACAGCGCGCTAATTGTACCGGCGAACAACAACCGCGTTCGAGAATTTGTTGAGAATGCGCCGATCGATCCTTCGATCTGTCATTGCTACCTCCACGGCGTTCGATCCCCACGATCTTTTTACTTTTTGCTTCTTTTACTCCGTAAGGAAGCTTTTATCATTCCCGACTTTCAAAGGTATTACGTTTCTTTTAGATTTATGGTTATATGTTTTAGTATCAATAATGCTTTTATTTCTTCTTAATTGAATTAATAGTTAACAAAAATATATATGTATATATATATATATATTGTTAACACTTGTACTTAGATTATAATTAAAATCACATATGTTAAACATTTTACAATAATATATATCATTTTTATTTATAATATAATTATTTTTTATGACATATCACGTATAATACGATTTAGATTTCGCATAAGCGTGGTAAGAATGCTGTTCGTGCTGAACAATGATTTCATGGGATAATTTTACCAAAGCGATAACGACTACCGCACGAATTCAGGGCGAGTCTCGAAGATCAAGCATCGCATGCAAACAGATGTTACCTTCTCATGAATTCACTACGTTTCCTCGCGCGAATCCTTTACGAGGACAAAGTTTACACGTGTAGTCGGCACCGTTTTCTACCTCTACTCCTGCCCGTGACTTACCTTACTCTCCTCTCGTTCGCGTATGCTAATGACTTGCGCACGCGCATACTGTCCTTCTCTCTTCTCCCTTCCCTTTTCTCATTCTCTTTCATATGCAACGTGCTCGAAACGCGGGAGCACGGTACTCTCGATTCGTCGTTGGAAAAGTTAAGGACCGTATTGTAACGGTGCGTTACGCTTGTCAACGTCTCAATTGGTATCTCTACAAAGTACTCTTTATTTAGTATCCTTTGAATTTTACTACGGGAGTCGAGTTAACGTGTTAACAAATGTATAGATTATAATGTATTATACTAACAAGAGAGAAAGGATAATACTCCTTCACGGTCATTTAACATATTTCAAACTTATCTCAGAATTCTATAATGTGCCACGACGATGCATAAATACACTTATTCTATTTCTGTTTTTATTTTCTTTTTTTTTTGGACTATTATTACACTAATCGCATATTGATAGAAAAGTGACAACCACTGAGAACACTGGAAGATACTGCACCGATAAACCACCACGAACTGTTGTCTTGTACGAATTTGTCGAACTAATCTTTCGAATATCGATGTCATAAGGAAGAGACAGGGGAAGGAAGAAGGGGATTGGTAATTGATTCCTCGTATTGGACATTGGTCAATTTAGTTTTACAAGTACAAAAAGTAAACCAATGTCATTGTTATAGGCAAATCGATGAAACACATTTGTGGAATAATAGGATCGAGTCGTAAAATGGTCGGTAGGTATCTTTGTAATCATAGAAAAAGTTCGATTTCTCTTGGTTTCCTAGTAAACTTCGGTCTGTCATTAGTACGGTCAATTTGATTCGACAACGGCCGTTAAGAAATACTTAGATGATTGCGGTTTGTAAGAGAATCAGCGTAATAAGTGGTCCTCGGGGAGTAGTAAGGAGACGGTCTGGCCCTTTCTCCGATATTTACGACCGCCATCGCCGGAGGCGCGAGGGTGGAGATTTTCGCGATTCTATGTATGGGTACATACTTTACTTCGAAGACTCTACGATTTCCCTTTCTATTTCCTCTATACATAACCTTCCTTTTCATCGAAACCATTTACTATTTTATTCGACTGCGATTTAACGTATCGAGATAGAAACATTTATTTATTTTTTCTATTTCAAAAACTATCTTTCATTTCTGTTACTCAAATTTTTATTATAATAATATTCGGTATGATTGTTAATAGATTGATATCAATCGTTTATTTACCAAATTAATCAATTCTAAATTTTAAATCCAAATTTTTTGTCATTGAATTATATTAAGTATTATTATTAAAAAAATTTATCTTAAAAAAATATAAAAAGTATAGAATTAATTTAATACTTTAATATTACAATTTTCAACTATCTTAAAAGAGTTATTTGCTTTGTTTTGAGAACGGTTTATATATATATATAAATATGGCCAATTAATTAAATCACCATTGGAATACCTTAAATTTATCGATTCATTTATAAAAGTGAAACATACTTATATGAAAGCGTATCAAATCGATCGAAGGGCAACCACGGGAAGCGCACAACGCGCGGCATAGCTTCTCTTTCTCATTCCCTCATTTTGATTGTTGTCGATGTTGTTGTTTCTGTTCTGATGCTGTTGTTATTGCTGTTCTGTTCTGATGCTGTTGCTGTTGTTGGCTCAGAAGGCAGGATATCATCTGCCAGCACACTCGTTCTTCTCACAGGATATACGGAGAAGAAGGCGGCTATAGGGCAGCATATAATTATCGAGACCGTAATGGCGAGCATAAATCATAGGCGCTACTCTCCCTCGAACGGTCCGTTCGTTCCCTTCTTTCTTCCCTAGCCGGGGCCGCGGGTCTGCCCACAGGACGACGAGAATGAATACGGATGAGAAATCGAGAGAATCGATTGGATAGAGTCATCACTCCGACGCAACTAACTTTTGCCACGACCCATCGTCAAAAAAAATGTCTACCTATCTTTCTTTCTTATCTCTTCACACTTAAATCTTATTTTTTTTTTTTGTAATGAAATATAATTATTTATTATAAATCATTCATTTGCTAACTTAAATGATATTATTGATATGATTATTGAGTCATGAAAGATATTTGTGATAAGAGTATTGTAATATTGTTTAAATTATTACTTCGATATTTATTTATAGAAAGATATTACCTATTAAATTTTTAATGAAAATTAACAGAAAAAGATGAAAATAAAATAAAACATTATTATTTAATTATATTTTAAATTCATGATAATATACGTGACATTAAATTTCAAATGAATAATATCATCAAGAATATATAAATAGAATCGTGCTACTACTGATTAAACAATCGATACGACGATTTCCACGCAGATAGGTTATTTGTAAGATCTAACAAAGCGATTATGGAAACACATCTTCATATGACAAGGACAAAGGCATCGAACGTTCAGGACACCTCCTTTTTAAAAGGTCAACCAGCCTCCAAGAGTCCGGCACCAATGGCGGTTACAAAGAACGGTCTCCCGTTTTGCACATTCTTTGTACGCATAGATTCAAACTTGTGTGCATTCGTGTATATTTTTGTGAGTGTGTGTGTATGTATTTTTGTGTGTGTATATATTTGCTGAGTTACATAGTGAACGGACGTGAAGTGAGCGAGCGAACGAGCGAGCGAGCAGTGCCACGAGGACTGACATTTTCTCATCGCGCTGGGGTGGAACCACGTCACGCTTTGCTACCGGGGCAGAAATAAAGAGAAAAGTAGAAAGAGAGAAAGGAAAAAAAAGAATAAAAGAAAGAAAGAAAGAAAGAGACGGCGAATGACGAAGAGGAAATGGGCGAAGCTCGAGGGAAGCGAGATGGTGGTAGGGTGAAGGGCGACAGGAAGCCCAAAGGATGAGGAGGAGTATGAGGTTGAGAGGAGGAGTGGAAAGGGAAAGAATTATGATCCGAGCGAGTCGACTTTTCCGGCGTCGAAACGAGCTAGCTTTTCCAAGCATTTTCCTCGTCTTTCTTCGTCCATCTCGAAGGGCCATCTACTCCCTTCGACCATCTCCCCTATCGGCCAAGTCGACTCGCGCGTGGCCAACAAGGGTGCTTTGCGAACGTAAGCAAGGGAGTATTGAAGAGAATGAGATAGAAAGGGAAAAATATAGAAAGAGAAAGAGAGAGAGAAAGAGAGACAGAAAGAGAGGAAACTCAACGACCAGCATCGCCGTTGTGTTATGTCGGCGATGGTGGTGGTACGGTGGTGGTGTCAGTGGTGGGGGTAAAGCGTAGGGCCGGGACGAGCTGTTGGGGTGGGGTGCGCTGACAGCTCGACGCTCTCGTCCGTTCCACGCTTCTCGACGGGAGGATACGCTTCTCTGCACACATTCGTCTCGCACACTACGAACTACGTCTACGTGTACACTCGCGAGCGCGTGCAAGCGAGCGACGTTCGCGCGGAATTGGTTAGCAGCGCGCGTTGGATACTCCAACTTTGCCTTCCCTCTTTTTTTACTCGCCCTTCCCTCTCTTTCTCTTTTTTCTCACTCAGTCACTTCCCCCGTTACTAGCCTTCTCTTTCTCTCTCTCTCTCTTTCTCTGTCTGTCTGTCTGTCTATATTCTTTCTCTCTTTGTCGCTTGCGCGCGCGCGTTCAAACACGCACAATCTCTCTCACTCTGTCGTCAGCTCCGTTCGTTTCCCTGTTGCCGCCGCGTCAGCCGTCACACATAGTGTATGTAGTTTTCTGTACCTCACCGTCCGAGGACTCGGCACGAACTCGCGCGTAGTCGCGCGAGTAATACCGCGTCGCGCTCACGTGAGAAAGATTGGTCTTTGTAAACATTTCTATCGAAGTATAAAAGAAAGAAAGTAAGAGAGAGACACACACAAAGTTTTAGTGTTATATTTAAAATCAACCGCGGGAAATTTATCGTTTCAATTATTCGTCTCAATCGACGCGTGTGATTCCATAATGTTTTCAACATACTTAAATAAGCAGTATTTGTTTTTAAATCATTCGATATACGAGCTCGATCACGTGGATCATTTGAATCTTGTTAATGAATGTTTATTGACCAAGATGGATCTTAGTCGGGAACGTGTCAAAACATTGTGAGACCAAACATGGATACATCCTAGTGAACATTTTATTTGAAAATAAAACAGAATTAAAAGAAGTGAACAACCGAATAACATAGCGCGGGAAACATATAACGCGCTGGTAGTAGTTGTATGCTATCGCCTTTCCGCAATTACGACACGACGACGATCAAAAAAGGTGCGGGTGATGTTATCGGAGACTCAAGGTCACATCGTTCCAGTCATCGAGTTGTAGCCTGTATACGATTCACCGTCGTCTTTGTTAAACGATTCACCACAGACGAGAGATAAGAGAAACTCGAAGCATCATCGGACTTATGTTAATTAACATATTTTTTTTATTTATTACGTAATTTCGTGTTTCTTTCAACAAAGACAATCGACTTGTGTTTATTTTCCATCGAAGAATGACGTTTTTATGAATGAAACTTTAAAAAGAAAATTAATCTAATTCGATATTCGAATCTTCAGTATTCTTGTTTGTTTAAAAACCACGTGCTCGAGGAACGAATACTTATCAAAACATTCAGTGAAATCGAATGACGCTTAGACGACTAATTATCTTTCAAGTATCTTTACTAAAATCGTCTTCGTTGACGAAGACTCTTTACGAACATCGTAGGAAGACGAGAAGAAGAAGGAAAGGTCGGCGCATGTTACGTCGGTACGTATTGACAGCTGTGTGTACGTAATTGGCACTCTGTTTGTACAGACTGTCAGTGTACTCTCCCGCTCTCTCGCGGGACTTTGTGAGTCTCCGGAATGGTGCACTATTCGCGAAGAACACCAAACGCGTAATTGCTATAGTTTAACTCGGTAAACGTGTCTCGACCACCACGGATGGTTTTGAATTTCTTTGCCTTTGCCTGTTAATGTTAATTAGCCGATAGGAACACGCTCCGCACGTTTTTCGCGAACGAAAGCCGCGTGTGCGAGCGAGTGGGTGTGGGACTTCGATTCCGTGCAAGCGCGTGACCGCTAACACGACGGATTCGTTCGCCGACACTGGCGGCTTGCCGGTCGGCATGGCCGGTGAACGCACGGTTAAAAGGTATGCTTTATATCATCTCCAATCGTCTACTGTGATTTATTTGTATTATTCGGTACATCTACTAAACGAATTTATTCATTTCCATTTAATTTTTAAGTTATACGAATTATAATTTATTAAATGTTTTTTTTTAACATTATAATATTTTATTAGAAGTAACTAAATAATTTGTTTGTTCGATTTAAATCATTTACTTTTAATCGTTAACTATTTCGTAGATATAATAGATTATATTTCTATACATAAATTTGAACAATAATATATGGGAGAATAAATATTGGGACATCAGAATATGAACTTTAACATATGTAGATATATATAGATTTAATGAAGAGAACATCGTTGATAAATATAGTATACTAGAATTTATCAAAAGGGTCATATATAGACTGGTTGCCTTTTTTCCTTTCGCTATTGATCAACTGAAATATTATAGTTTTTATTTTATTATTAATAAGTCAACCTAATACATAATTAAATAGAATAAATTAATTCTTCAATTGAATAATATTTAATTTTTATGTAAAGAAAATGTTTGACATTCAAGATAAGCACGTACAGTCTAGTAGATAATTTTTTATTTTTTTTACCATGAATTTGAGACCACTCAACAAATACACATAATCTTTATCACCGGCTTTAATAATTTATTCGCATAATTTTCCATTAAGTTATGAGTACTTTACAAAACATTGTTTTTCCAGGGAGGTATTTATTGCTTTACCCACGCTCATTAGAATCTACTAATCCTGTTTTTCATACATATGTATATATACCCACTCATTGTTCTCTCGATCGCATTTCTATATAGGTATGTTGTCTTTATTATAGTCATTATTCCAATAAATTATTCGAACAAATTAAAGGTATTATAAAGGGGATTTTTTATCTCTTGTTTTGTATATTAAATTTATTTAGAAAAAAAGATAAAAATGGCAGTAAATTTTTTCGTATTTTAGTTATTAGAAAAAAAAAAGTAATTAAATACTACAAATAGAAATGACATTAGTAATCATGTCGTGTAGATCTTAACACGATCGTGTGTATCTAATTTCTCCGCAGGCCTTTTTTTCTTGAATGTTTAAGAAAAAGAAATAAGCAAAAGTAAATTACGAGTTACATTATCAATAGGATTGTTAAACGAATGGTAGTAAGGTACCGTCGCGTGTCTTGAGCAAGCTTCCCCAGTTAAGTTTCCAAATCGAGACGGTCAAGTGAGTGGTGCACCGGAATTCGGAGACAAATGTCCCGTTAAGTGTGACACCCCCGCATTATCTGGGATTAAGATCTCAAACGCAAACGACCACAGATGTTTTAGCGTACCTTCAGCACGCAGCGTGAGTAAAAGAAGAGAGAAACAGTGGGATTCGTGGAACTGAGGGAGCCTGTTAACCTGGTAGCATAGAAGGACAACGGGTCGCTTCATTACCTGAAAAGATAACAGAGTTGTCTTGCATAATAATGCTCGACCCTCGAAGCAGAAAACAGAAGTCGTTCTCCTTCCCGTTTCTTCTTACATTATCTATCTGCCTATTTTTCTTCTTTTCTCTTACCTTTCGTTTAGTAACGACTTTGTAAACAAAATTCTATCTTTTCTTTTGTATCGATAATAAATCATAAAAGCAAAATCAACATTAAATTAATAGAAACATAATTTTTTTTTTTACTAATTCAAATAAACTTAATAAATAGCTAGTAAACATCGTATCTTGCACGTTTCTAGAAATCTATTTTTAATTGTATTCTCTGAACAAGAGATCCTTAAAAAAGAAAAAAAAAATGATCGATAAGTATTCTACGTTTACTATAAATTTACTCAAGTGCGAGGAATATTATCAATTATGTTATCGCGAGCAAATGTTCATCGTAATTTTATTAAAACCGTAAGACGAGTAAGCAATGCAAATGATTGAAAAATATTTTTTATCTTCTTCGTTGGTAGACAAAAAAGCGATTAGGTAAATTCAAATGGTAACGCCTCTTTCGCGTTCATTTCTATAGGGAAGTTTACGTGACGACATTAAATCCGTCGGCGTTTCGTTGAACGTAAGAGCGTGAACGTTCGTCTATCTAAAACACGGAACTAGTTTTGTGCACCACCCGCGAGTGTATCCTCTTGGATCGTAGAGAGAGAGAGAGAGAGAGAGAGAGAGACAGGCCTTTTGATACGGTATCGTGACTCCCATGAATATTTAATGAGCCCTCGAACCCTTCGATTTGACGAGGGTCGAAGATTAATCCTCCTACGGATGATCCTCCTTCCGCCATATTAAGAAACGTGTTTCGTACGAGATTATCGAAGATTCTACGGCATTTATCGTGCAAACGATTCCTCGAACTTTCTCTCTCTCTCTCTCTCTCTCTCTCTCTCTCTCTGTCTGTCTCTATTTATCTTTTCCTTTCTCTTTTTTGCCTTTTTTCTCTTTCGATACTCTAAACGTAATACGAAAGTACGAAAGATTATAAAAAAACTAGTCGAAACGATTTTTGTTATTAATTGGACTAAATTCGAGCATAATCTTACCGGTAATAGAACCTCTGAGATGATAAAAATGTCAAATGATGATTTAAACGATAGAAAAAAAAAAAGGGAAAAAAATTTTTATCTACTCCAATTCATCAATAAAAAAAAGAGATTTTTATTAGTCAATAGGAACTATTTTAAATGTCGAGACGACATCGACGCTGTGAATATTGATAACTAATAGTCGACGTGATTATATTATATTATGACTTTGGCTAGTATACTTTCAAGTCAACGAGTAACATTAATATTCTGACTGCATTATTAATCACGCATAATATTAATTATTAATTAATTAATTACGGAATACCATCTAATATGTTGTTGCTTATGCCAGGCGCGACTTTAGACATTAGTAATATGTAAATTATTAAGTAAGCAAACGAACATTGGATTTAATTCGTTAGCGAACATTAAAAATACTAGCTGTTTACTTCCACTTGTGCGTTTTATAGTTGAGAAAGTAATGTCGATAATATTACTGTAAATAAAATGATTCGCGGTTAATATCGTTTCCAGTACGTGTATGACGCATACACGCATAGATTACCGTTTCTTCGATAAAGACCGAAACTCGTTATCTCGTAAAATTTAATTTCTTCTATTTTTTATCCTAACAACTCTAATAACTACCTTTCGCTTACCATAATATATTTATATAGTATATATACATATTTATTTAAGGTACCAAGTCATATATTACTTCAAAAAATTATTTAACGAGTACAATTCGCGTTATATAATTATTATATAAATTTTATATAATTATCGATAATCGTACGATAAAATAAGAAAAAAATCTTCTATTTAATTACACATTCAGTTATATTAATGATAAAAATTACTATTGTATCTAAATAAGCAGTAAATATTATTTTTTTTTAGAAATTACTCTTGATGAAATATGTTTGAGTATATTACGTTTATTATATATATATTCTCATATCGATATTCCCATTATCGAAAAACGTATAGTTCGATTAGCTTTGGTAGAATGCAGCTTCGCTTTAGATAAGACTGTAACCGAATATAAGCGACGTCATCTAAAAGCTTTCCAGCATAGAACTTTAACGTTCTGATCCACCGTGAGGTGGTAAGTATAGCAAACCCGAAAGTCGGAAAAGGGCGGGGAGGGTTGGTTGATTCGGAACTCCAAGGGTGCTCTGGCACGGGTGAAGACGCTTCGCTGCGTTTCTGATTTACTGGAGTCGCAAACGCGAGTTTCGAGAATGGGGTGCAAGCGGAGCAGAGAAGCTTGGTTAGTAGATAGAAAGCTGAGACATAGAGAGAGAGAGAGAGAGAGAGAGAGAGAGAGAGAGAGAGAAAGAGAAAGAGAAAAAGAAAGAGAGTGAGAAAGCGAGTGATGAGGGGGAAGACCGACAGAGTTCAATGTGCACGTGGAACCTCAAAGCTTCCAAACAAATACCAGAACGTTTTATAAATGTCTCTTGTTTTGTTAGGAATTCACGATAAGATGATGATATTGCAGATATGAATGAATTAATAAATTGAACTAGTGTTACATGTTTGTGATATTAGCTTCTCGTATGACGAGGTTCAATTGTAAAAAGTGAATCGTAGTAAACGAGCAAAATAAACAACATTGTTTATTGGACGATTGTTGATTACGTCTAATAAAAACGTTAGATACTCTTAAGTTTGTTATAAGATGTAGCAGTTAATTTAGTGTCTTGGTATTAAATTCTTTGCATCAAAATTGGCATCTCTTTTTCGTCGAGGAATTCAGTAGTTATCTAAAAGATGAACCATTGACTATTTGGAAGAGTAACAGATATATTGATTACTTTATAAATAAATACAAAATTTTTTATATAGGTATCGAATTAAAAGTTGATAATTATAGAAGATATTATAAATTATGAATAATATGATATGGTAATGTAAATGTAATATAAATATGGTAATATGAAATATAAAATAAATATGGTATGATAATTGAGATAAATTTGTTATAATTATAGGATGATGAAATAAAAAAAAAAATATAAAAGAATGGAATGAGAGGTTAAAGAAAAAGTTAACGAAACATTTGTTAGCGATGAGAAAGTCAGAAGGAAAATCGTATGTA